AAAAATCTGTATTGTTATAAATGGTAATTTATTCTTTTCTTACATTTGATTGTGATTTGTTTTGTAGATTTTTTTACTGCTTTTAATCAGCAAAATACTGTTATTTTATAGATATTTGCAATTGTTTGAAAGAAAAATTATGTATATTAAGGAATGAAAAAATGGTGAAGAATTTTTAAGTATTATTTTACAGATTTTCCTTGTTTTGTTCAATTACAGATATATCTGATCAGATCACACATACATACACATAATGTCCACATCAAAAATGTGTGTTATTACACCTAGTAATTTGTTCTTTTACAATGTGTAACCATAAAATTACACAATTTGACTGTATTTAAGCTAAAAATGTAATTATTTTAGATAGACATTTATTGTCATATGTGAGGCATGAAAAACAGCAGTTTAACACTGGACAATGAAACTGTCTCGTTTGCACACTCCCATATACATAACAAAGAATACAGATATATGTATAAAAAAACAAAACAAAAAAAGCAATAATATAAATAGATACAAAAGAATCAAAAGAGACAGAAACTAAGGTGCATATAGATTGTTTACAAGTAGCAGCATCAGTGAGGTGATGTAGCAGCAGATCAACATAAATTAGGAATATAAATTACATATTAGATAAGATAGATAGACAAATATAAATTATTATATTTTACAGTATTGATTTCAATGTATTTTTTCTGGCACCCTTGCTGCCATGTTGTCACCATTCACTTATGGACAGTGTAGCATTTCCCATTGTTTTCTGCCACATTGCAGAATAAATGATTAACTGGTTAATTGTAGAAGTTGCTAGGTTTACCGATAATGAAAGTACCTGTTAGTTGCAGTCTTACTTGTTCTCTCAGTGTGAAACTGGCCTGTGTACTTACAAGGATGTTGACTTAAAGTGCCTCACATCATATGGCTTCTGAAGACGCCAGATAGTTTAATAACAAATTGGATATTTAGTAATTACTTCTGTTTGCTGCTGTTGGTCCTCATTTTTGTATAATTTGCTGAAAACACTTTTTTTAACCTGAATGTTCATGTCCACTAGATGGCAGTGTCAGTGAGCTGACAACACAAAGCTGAGAAGAAAAAAAAAGTAATTTTCCAAAAAAAAAAGAAAAAATACTAGATTGCCAGTAGCACATTCCATCTTAAGTCAATCAGGGTTCCCACCTCAAATGTTTTATTGTATTTTTTTTCCTATTATAAGGCTGAATGATTAAAAAATGAAAATATTGGAGCCATTATGATGCTGTTTTATCAAATTACAGATACTTGAAGGTCAAAATTTTATTTTTCGCCTGAATTACAGTGCAGGTTAGTGGTTTCATATAGCTGCTTAAAAATTCTGTATCTTCATTACTGTGAGGACAGATGCATATTTTTTGTGTATACACTTCTGCCATAAATTAAAAAAAATGCTAGGATTTGTGTCAGATACCCCTCAGAAATAGAAAAGAGCACATTGTGATAGGTCTTAAGTGTTTGTTTTTTTTCTCCCCAACACCTACTGCTCCAAAAGTATATAAAATATCCAACTCACATTTGTTCTCTTGCTGTATAAAAACCCTTCCCCTGTAGGAATCTGTGCAATCCCAAGTTCATGGCAGGTTTAATCCAGTAGAAACTGGCCTTTAAAGATTGTTTCAGATTGAAAATTCCTGCCAGAATGCTACTGTTGTGGCTAAAATAACCTGCTTATTAACAGCTGATGTCTGAATACATTCCAGAAGTGATCTTTCACCTAATGTTTAACCCTTTTTAAATGTATAAAAGTTGTTAGAAAATATGAAAGGAAAAACATTAGGACTTTTATTTCAAAAGCATTGTACAGAACAACCAAAACAGATCCTATGAATGAACAGTTTCTTACAGAAATTAGTATAATCCAGTGGATATTTGAATGAACAAATGATTCTGCATGATGTGGGATTGTGGATTATAAGCACTTATATTTCCAAACATCACTAAAATTTTGCTGACTGTACAAATCGCAACATATATCAAAATTACCCAAAATCTTAAAAATATACATACTGTATCTCTACAGTTGTAAAGTGACAAGTGAGTGGTGTATATTCTGTTTGCACTTGAGGTGTTTGGTTGTGTATTCGTTAATATATTTAGTTAATTTAGAAGAACTGAAAATGGACATGTGTTTTATTTTTGCATTATTATTACACCCCACTATGCTGGGGGAATTTTCTGAAACTCTTTCGTCTTTAAATATGGGAAGTTTGACATTTCATTTTAGAGCCATCTTTAAAGGCAAGTTTCTGGCAGATAAAACCACCCATGGCCTTGGGGCTGCACAGATCTTCATACAAGTTTGTTTTACAACAGGAACACAAACATCACTGGAATGTCTTTAGTACTTATTGAGCAATGGATGTTTAAAACTGGCAAAAACCCCCCCCCAAAAAAAACCAACTAAATTCTACAGTGTTTTTGTTTATTGTTTATGAGTTTTGGGTGACGGTTTCTAACAAAACTCACCATGAAATGTGACAAACTATCCAAAACCTTGTAGATCATGACAATATCTGTCCCCTTTAGCAGAACGGTTGGTATACAAAAAGCATAAAGCCTGAACTTGCTCTATGAATTTTGCAAATATCCAAAATGGAACCCAGTGGTTGTAATTAGATAAATGATTCCCCTACAGCTCTGGTATTTGTGTTTTTTCCGTTATATTGATTCGTCTTTCCCCATCTTATAGTATTTCATAATGCAACAGAGGACCACGTGTGGCCTGGTCCGTCTGAAAGAACAGGGCGTGTCTTGGCTCGTGACATGGCAGGAAATTTCTTTACGCGCGCAATCACTACCTCCCTCCTTCCCCCGTTTTTTTTTTCTTCTCTCGTCTTGCAGCTGCAGAGACCTTCATGACTCTGTGAAAGGCAGATTTTGGACGTGAAGTCACCGACAAGTTTTAACTTCTCTCCTGCTACTTCTGTCCAGACTGAAGAAATCCATCTGACTGACTGTTACAACAGCAGAGGTGAGTAGAAGAACAGCAGACTGTCACTTTACATATGTTGTAAATGGCTGCAATACATTTCCTATACAAATATGAGGAAAGAGAGTGGAGCTCATTGTTATCATTGCCACTGCTAATGTACTGTCATCCTGGCAGTAGAAATATTATACACAGAATACACAGAGTATCCATGTTTATTTTTACTGGGTTTCTCTGGGGTATATATATACTCTCATTTGCAGTCTGATGTGCTGGCAGTAAGCACAGCTTAGAGGTTGGATTTTAAATGACTAGCTGAAATGGAAGATCATCTTGGCTACAAATGCTGGCATAGCTGTTAAAACAAAAATAACAAATGTTTGATGCATGGTTTTATCAAGACAAGCTGTCTCCTAATGAACTATATTTTACACAAGTTTGTAATGTTATATGGTAGTTGCCTGCATTTTTTTTTTAGCCCACCACGAGTCACTGGGGTTATTTAAGGTCATTAAGGTAGTCATTATCTTTAAAATATTTATGTTAACATTATCTGTGCAGGCCTCAAACCAAAATAGTGAAATGTGATGGCAATGTTTTGTTTTTCTTCAACTAAGGATGTAAATGTGACGCAAACATTCTTTTGGAGGTATAAAAATGTGACCACGATAAGTAGATACGATCTTTAAATAACAGAAGGCTGCATTTTGAAGTAAAGGATTTGTGTGACAGTGAGATAAACAAGCTGTGGGTGTTTCTTGGGTGTGCAGGCCAAGCTTATATCTTGGTTAAGATGAACTTTATCAGTCAACTGAAATGTCTCTGAGAAGTAGATGACATTTTGTTCTGATGAACTGCTAGCAGGTTGAGCATGTATTGCTGCTCTCAGGACGTATAATATCCAATTGTATTTTTTTTTACTCAGGTGTCATATATGTTTATATATATATACATACATACATATATACATACATACATACATACATACATACATACATACAGTGCTGCCCACTTAATGTCATACCACTTTATAGAATATCCCGTTTATAATCATTTCCTATATAACTTATTAAAACAGCTTGTTTATGTCATAGAATAATGTCATAATCCCATTTTTTTGTCATAGCAAAATTCCCTGAAATTGATTCCAGGAATAGCTTTTGCCCGTTTAAAGTCATGGTCGGCTGATCACTCACTCATTCTTGGCAGATTAATACATCCAGGTCAGCCGCGGGAGGCAATGTGTTTGTTTGTCAATTACCTGCTCACCTGAGATCTGCTTCACTGAGTTATTCACACACTGTCTGACATTAATTAATGCATATCAAAGAGAATCGCATTGTTGCAGAGCATGTCGTCACTCATAACGGAACTGCTCAGCTAGTTAATCATGACAAGTTAATCCTCACATACATTGTGCTGGTCCAATACATATGCTAGTTTTCACACCCAAACTCGCCGCCATTTTGAAGCCCGCTTATTGGAATATCCCGCATATAGTCATAATTCCATCCTGGACCGAGGGTATAATAATAAACGGCCACACTGTATAATGTATAAATGGAGATGATAGCTGTCAGATAGCTGTCATTGATAAATCTCCTGTTTTCCTGAGATCCTACAACTGCGTGGGAACTTTTAAAGCGTCACACATTACATGTCATGTCATGTGTGTTCAGGTCTCGCTGTTGGGTTTGAATGGAGCACACACACAATGTTTCCACTCTTAAGCACAATCACATGTGAGCAATCTTTAAAAAAAGCGCTTATCTCCTAAGCTAATTACCATCACTATGACTTCCAACAGGATGCAAACTGTCAGTGAGTATCCGCCCAGTGCTGTAACAAAGCCCACCCCAGATGACTTCAACTTCACCCCTCCTTTCTGCTCGCTCCGACTGTAATGACAGGGTCAGTCTTTTGTATGAATGCCACCAGCCCTTTATGATTGATGGGCCTGTGGGATAAGCAGCAGTCTTGAAGTTCAGATTGTCTCTGAAAACTACAGGTAATTCATTGCCTTTGTATGGGCTCTAGTGCTGCTGTCACATGAGTGCAGACACCTGGTGAGGGCATCCCCACAGAGGCTTTGTAGCGCCCAAGCTACCTGTGGCTGGTTTAACAAAGGGTTAAGTATGGGTGTTCCCATTTCCTGCTCGCTCTCTCTCTCTCTCCCAGCCCTCTAATCTCTCTCACTCTCTCCTCTCTTCACTACCAAGGAGCTTTGGAGAGCCTCCCAAGAACAAACCTATATATAAACATTGGTTGAGTGAAACTTGAATGAACTCGCGCAAGGATTGTTTCTGTCTGTGTTCAGAAAAGTAGCTTTCTCCTCGATCACAGGGGTAAGTTGCTGATAAAAATGCATGTGTCATTTGGATGAGTCCTTGTTTCAGATGTTGAGGAAGAGAAGGGAAGGGCTTACTGTTAATAGTGTGCTGGTCTTGCGTCAGACGAGAGCCATGTGGTACGCACTGCTGGATAGTAAAAAGGCTTTATCTGCTGTGTTTAACTTAAGATAATTTCTTTTTTGTTCATTGAAAAACAGTTTGTAAAGAGAACAGGGTGCAGTTTGGTTGTCTAAATGGATGGAAAGTATTTTTTCTTTTCTTTTTTTCTTCTTTTAATTACCCCTTTTTCATTCTTTCCACTGTATAAGAGCTGCTTTTATGGTCAGTGAAATATCAAACTTAGAGCAAGTTCTTAGTTAACTAGGTTTGTCTAGTTTTTACACCCTCCAATTGATTAAAATGTAAAGCTTGCCGAAGTAGTAAAATCTGTTTGTTTTTTTCAATGTGAGTCAAGGTAATAATCCATCCAAACTGCACTCGGTTGAATGTTAAATTACAAACCATTCCTGACATTTAAGCTATGCTTTGTTGGCTGTATGCTTTGGCTAGAGGCCATGGGAAAGTCGTCGGGTATGTAGCTAAAGAAAGTCACTCAAACCAAACTTGACCTGAGGCCAGTATGCAGGGAAAAGGCTACTCTGTATTTAGACTAAATAGCACCATTTACACAGGAACCCTTTGTTTATCTCTGTTGCCCACTGCTATCAAGCACCAAGCTGTGTGGATTATTGTGTGTCCGCGGGCCTGTTCAGTGCAGAGCGTAGGAATACAGAGAAATTCCATTTTTGTGTGAAACTCCTAAGGAATGGCAAAACGTAGCACAACAGTGTCCTTAGGGGTTGGATGTGAAAATGCTGAGGGCAGTTTGACCCACAGAGAAGGGAAGTATCCCATGACCCCATGGCAGCAGCACGGACCTACGCTCATTCCCAGAGTGCGTCCATGCCAGCTTTGTGTGGCCCGCAGCAGATTAGAGCAACATAAGTCCTCTGACAACATTTGTTATTTAAAGCCTTTCATGTCACACGAGCTTTAAATGGATTGACACCTCGAGTGAAAGCGTCCCGTTTTCTGCAATTTAGTTTTCTGGACCAAAACAATCACGTGGAATACGTTAAGATAGGGAGCAGAAGTCCAAAACAAAGGAGAGTGAAAGGATTTTTATGCATTGCCACAAGACAAAACCAACATTCTTGTTGTTCTTGGCAAGTGGTGTGTCTCAGAGTTTTAAAAATAGGTGTCCCTTTTTGAAATGGAGAAGGATTTTATGTTTGTGTTACGTTAGTCATATTCAGTGTTTTTTGAACGCTGGTGCTCCTTCTCAAGCACTAGTTTACCTTTAAGAGAGTGAGGGGATTTCTCACTCTGCCACTGTTACATCACTCCGTATTATTTTACTGGTGAACAGGGCCAACGCCTTACATCGTAAATATCACAGTTTCCAGCTTCCTGAAAGACCCACTCTGAGATCTTGTCTCAGCTTTAACAAGTTAAGACAGATCACAGAAAGGGTAAATGCATGCAGAAGCAGTGCAAACGAGTTAAAGACTCACAGTGAGGTCAGCCTACTTATAGTTAGTTCACCAAAGGGGAAAGTTGGCAACATTGGTGCATTAGCCGTGTTGGAATGTTAAATGTTCTATAAAAACAATCCCAGCTGGCATAGTAATTGCAGATTTTATAAGAGATTGTTCTTAGGTGTATCATAAATTTAACACCTGTTTTGTCCACTTTCAGCCTTTTGAAAATTTGACGAGGATTCTTTCGGTCCAGCAACAGCAGATCACCAAACAAAAATGGAGCTTCAAAAGATAAACGGACACAGCAGGGACGATGGGTAAGATGAACAATAACTGATAAACACACCATGTCAGCACTGGTGATGAAAGTACGACTCAAGGGAGTCAAATGTTTTTAATACATCGTTGTACATTTCATCCACCAAATATAAATGCTAATTCCACATCTTCATTTTACTTATTGATTATTCTTTCATTGCAGGTTTGATGGGCTCGATGCTTTGGCAGAGCATGAGGAGTTTCTCCCCCATAAAACTGGCGTAAAAAAAGAAATGCACTTTACAGACGTGAGTGCTTTTTCCCTCCGGTGTACGCTGTATGAAAATGCAGTAAATACTCCTGATGCTGTTTGTGTGATTTATGGCTATGAACTAAATGACCCTCTGTCGTCTTCTTTTTGCAGTTCGAGGGAAAGACTTCATTTGGCATGTCCATCTTTAACCTCAGTAACGCCATAATGGGCAGTGGAATTCTGGGATTGGCTTTCGCGATGTCCAACACCGGAATCATTCTTTTTCTGTGAGTGTCCAAGCCAAACACACAATCCCAACTTTGGCTGAACTGTGCATCTTTTGTCGGTGTGTTTATGCACGTTCTCCACTTATGTAGGTCAACGTATAGCGCACTGTGTGGCATTTGAGTCGTCCCCTCTTGTCTAGAGGACAACAATAGGGTATGGATTTCAGCCTCTTGTCATTTATATTTAGTATTTGGGTAAAGCCGAATGTGAAGGCTGCTGGAGGCTACAAAAATAGAGCAAGGCTGTGTGTCATGTGAGGGTTTGAATTCATGAATAGGAGACTGACAAGAGAAGTGCTGGTCCTCACTTTTCCAAAGGGCTATTTCTAAATAGCTTTCCTTAACAGCTAGTACTCATTTTCTCGATTTGTGTGTCTTATATTCTAAAATGTACTCATTTTTATCTTTTGCTATGTTGTGTCTGTTGTTGCTTTAGTCTTTAGAGTCACTAACTATTAAGCTCTTTGTGCCTCTTGCTTGGATGTTGCTTTATAAATGAATTATGAATAATCATTATCATCATTTTAGATCAGAGTTGTGGCTGATAGTTGACCAGACTTCGCATTAGATTACAGTTTGTGGATACAGATTTGATATAGTCAACAGAGGGTCCTTATAAGGCCAGGAGTTGGCCCACGTGAGTGTGTATCATCTGACTGTGTGTGTGTTTGGACAGAAACGTATGATGGCAGGAGGATGTTAGTGTTTCTGTCTGTTTACCTGTGTGAGTTGTAAAGCAGTGTCACGCCTACAGCTCAGTACAACAGCTACTGTACGAACCCTGATCTGTCAGAATGTACATTAGAGCTCATACACACGCAGCTTCTCTAAATCAGATTTGAGTGGTTAAATTTAGACCCCAGCGATCAGATCCAAGACACGCCTGCTTGGATCAGTCCTGCACTATGTGGCGGATGGGGAGTTGGAGGGTGGCTGGAGCGTTAGTCTGTCCAAGCTGAACTCTCTTGTGTGAATGAGACAAAAAAAATAACAGAATGTTGGAGGATTATTCATGAGAATATCTTAATAGCAGAAGGACTTTACTAAAGAGTTTATAAACGTTGTAATGAGTTAGTTGCATTTTCCAACAGAGCTCGTTCTTGTGTGTTTCAGAATCCTGTTGTTCTTCATCGCTGTTCTGTCTGCGTATTCAATTCATCTGTTGCTGAGAAGTGCTGGAGTTGTTGGTAAGAGAGAGGGATATAACTCAGCATTCAAAAATAAATTATGTATATTTTTCTCACTATTTTTGAAGTACACACAAAATATAACTAAAATTACAAAAAAAAACAGGCAGTGAACTTTCATGTCTAACATGACAAAACCATAAAATTTCCATTTTATTTTAACAAATATTTCCTATTTATTTAATAGATTGAACTGAAATTCAAGTTTCATGATGTAAATATAGTTCTAAAGCTAGACACAGTTAGTTACAAGCACCAGGGGGAAAAAAAGGTATTTGTTCTGTACTTTACGTAAGTTTGTTTGTTAATTGAAAGATATCTTGCATAATTAGTTTTCACAACAAAAATGTGAAATGTATCATAAATGTACAATGTCTATAAAAATTGGTAATCAGTCAAATTACACTTTTTGTCATTATATCTGTCTAAATATACATAATATAGGTAATTTCATTGCCAAAGAATTACACATAATCTGCTGCAAAATTACGGCTGGAAAATAAATTCTAATTATGAAAAATAACTGTATTTTATGACAAAGTTATTTTCTGTTATGTTACAGCATTTTTTATTTTTTTTATTTTTTTAAATTGATTATAGTTTTGCTTTACTTTTTTCAGCCACAGAGTCATTTGTACATACTGAACTTATTGCATACAATTCCAATATTTATTTGTTTTCAGGCATCCGAGCGTATGAACAGCTTGGAAATCGGGCTTTTGGTCCTCCAGGAAAAATGCTGGCTGCCTGCATCATTACAGTCCACAATATTGGAGGTAATGTGATGCCGTTTGATCCCTTTGATGCCATTTCTGATATCTGTCTTTAAAGGTTTGTGTATTTAATTAGATAAGATCAAACATGCATCACTAAGCAGCAAACGTTCAGCTTGTTTTCATTCATTTTTAGCGATGTCCAGCTATCTCTTCATCGTGAAGTCTGAGCTCCCACTGGTTATTCAAGCTTTCCTCGGTAAACATGAAAACACAGGGTGAGTGTCAAAGGGATTTTCAGGTATAAATTCATTGCATAGTAGTTTGAGTTTTTTTTGTTTGGTGGTGTACTGATTTTTCATCTGTTTGTCTGGCTGTTTCTTAGAGAGTGGTTCTTGAATGGAAACTTCTTGATCATCATTGTTAGTGCTCTCATCATCCTCCCTCTAGCACTCATGAAACAACTTGGTATGTTTTGCATTCTTTTGTCTCATTATCCTTTTTCATTATTCCTCATACTCTTCCATCACGCCTCCACTGCCCTTTTTTGTTGGGTATTAGTTCATGTCTTGCACTGCAGTTACAGTAGCTTCACTTGAACACTCTGTCGACTGTCTGCAATAATAAGTAATTGTTCAACATGTTGCTATTATTGAAACCCAGGTTACCTTGGCTATACAAGTGGCTTCTCCCTCTCCTGCATGGTGTTTTTCCTCATTTCGGTGAGTCAGCATTCCAGCAAGTTATATATAACTTAATTTATTTATCCTTGATTAAACTATTGCTTTGTCTCATCAGGTTATATACAAAAAATTCAACATCCCCTGTCCTCTGGATGATGAACATGATAACACGACTCATATTCTCGACCACTACAATGAACATAACATCACAGATGACTTCTGTGAGGCCAAGATGTTTACCATGAACTCTCAGGTGAGAGAACACAAAATGTTCACATTGCCTGGGCCTAGTTTTATTGAATTGCAGTGTGTATTTTTATTTCATGGTGAGCCCAGCAGATTCACCACCACATATTCTACACCCGAGTGTGTTAAGTCAACAGCACCAAGGCGTGTTAAGTCAACAACGGTGGCAGGAATAAAATCATAAATCATGGGTTGGTCGCTGATCTTTGCTGTGTTTTTGGCTTTCAGACAGCATACACCATACCCATCCTGGCTTTTGCTTTTGTCTGCCACCCAGAGGTGCTACCAATCTACACTGAGCTACGAGAGTAAGTCAAAATGCCATAATCTCTCTCACAAAATACGTTTTTGTTTTTTTACCAGCACACACACGATTGTGCAAAATGGCGGTCAAACTGATGTCATTTTTCTGCTTAACCTTACTGCAGTGCCACCAAGAAACGCATGCAGACTGTTGCCAACATCTCCATCCTGGCCATGTTCGTCATGTACCTATTGACCGCTCTGTTCGGTTACCTCACCTTTTATGGTAAGGGTTAGGGAGAGTCAAAGGCCACTTTGTTCTGATGTTGTGCAATTTCAAATGAGTGACTCGCTTGTGCCCAGACCCCATATGCATTTTGCAGTGTTGTGAATGAGGGATTACACTATGCAATATAAGTCATCATCTGTCTGGTCCTCTGTTTATAGGTGCTGTGGAGTCAGAGCTGCTGCACACTTACAGTCGCGTGGACCCGCTAGATGTCCTGGTTCTCTGTGTGCGTCTGGCTGTGCTGGTGGCTGTAACTCTGACTGTTCCTGTGGTTCTCTTCCCTGTAAGTAAACAAGTTACTGTGTATCGTAAACTAGGCTAATAACTCCTACAGTCATTGTGCTTCATGTTAGATTAGATTATGCAGTGACAGGAAATGCATCAGCCATCGGCTAGCTGAAACATGTGGACTTAAACGAGATAGTTGAATCTTGGGCTCTTTGGATTTGTGATGGTCATTTTTTTGCTATTTCCTCATGTTGCGTTCAACAGTCAATTCATCAATTACTTAAGAAATCAATCTAGACTGCTCGAGTCCTAGGAAGTATTTAAATCTTGGTGTTTAAAAAAAAACATCTAAAAACTCATGTACTAGGATATTTAAAATACATACTAAATATAAATATTGCATATTAACCCTATTCAGGACTTTTGGGGTCTTTTGGACCCCAGGCTATATGGTTTAGGTGACAGGTATTGTTTTTCTTATTTTTGAAGATTTTTTTTTTTACATATTAAAAGAGGGACATTTGCCATGCATTTGGAACCAAAAATACATCAACTTATCAGAAAATTGTGGGTTCTCTCCGGGTTTTCCAGCTTCCTCCCACACAGTCCAAAAACATGTTGAGGTTAATTGGTGATTCTAAATTGTTCGTAGGTGTGAATGTGAGTGTGCTTGGTTGTCTGTCTCTAAGTGTAGCCCTGTGATAGACTGGTGACCTGTCCAGGGTGTCCCCTGCCTTCACCCTAAGTCAGCTGGGATAGACTCCAGCCCCCCGCGACCCTAGTGAGGATTAAGCGATGTATAGATAATGGCTGGCTAGTATAAAAGTCTATAATGAATACCAACAAATATTTTGCACATATTCTTTCTTGGGGTCCAGTGGACCCCGAAAGACCTTCTACGTATGGCAACAAAAAAGTCCTGAATATGGGTAAAGAACTTTACTGCACTAGATGAAACCTAAATAAACTTCATTAAAAGATAAAATGTAGATATTAATTAACTGGGATAAACATTTGAAATTCACTTTACATGCCATTATTGTGACACTAAAATCACCATAATGCGAGTGATAATCCCTAGTGGGAGCAGGCCCAGTATAGAACCAGGAGGAACTTCACATGCAACATTTGCTTTTTCTCATGAGAAAATTTCTTTTGGAAGCTAAACCGGTGGATAGACCTCAGACCAAATTAATAATTGTGGCATTTTTTTTCTTATTATTCAGGGCGGTTAAGTTAAATACGACTCCATGTTCCTCTTAGAAGTAGGTATATAAACCTCTTGTAAAATCTCTTACTTTACTCTTAACACTCTTTCTGCAGATCTTAAACTTACAGTCTTGACATGACACATCCAAAACCCTGCAAATGTTTTGGAATGCCACATAACTGTATGTCTCAGAGAATAAGTATAGTTTTCCACATCAAGGCACTGAAACTGCTTTACTGTTTCTGTGCTGTGCCAAAGAGTGTGAAACCCCTGAACCCATCTGTTGCCGTTTCAGTTGTGTGTTGACTGTGCTGAGTTATTTTAATGACTAGAGTCAGTTCTTCAAGATAACAGCAATAGATGGAAAACATGCACATTAGAAGAACACACTGCAGATCTTTCATAGCCTAATTAAAGAAGTAGTTTACGCTCATTCGGGTTCCCTGCCGAGAATTCAATAAAAAGATCTAAACCACTCTCGTGTCTACATGTTTGTCTGTACATTCACTGTGAAGCTGAAGCCAAGAGACAGTCAATTAAGCTCAGCAAGCACAGAGAGCAACAAAAAGCCAACAAAAATTAAAAGATCAGTGTACCAGCATGTGTAAAGCTCTCTAATTAACACATTTATCTTGGGTTTTTTTTATCTATGCAAAATTAAAGGTGGATAAAGTCCTCAGATCTTGTGCCAATGCAACAGTGTAGAAATACTCTGTTGCAGGTAAAAGTCATGAGTAGTGCAAGTAGTCATTACGCAGAATGGCTATATAATGTATATTATTGGATCATAACTAGTAATGCATTATTTTGTTGTTCATTATTTTATTGTTGAAGCTGGTAAAGATAATTTAACTTCTTACATGATTAACTTGTGAATAGGTAATCAATAAAGTATAATTTTAATCAATAATACAATTTCTACCTATAATATTCCATTGTCATTTGTCATCACATTTGTTATTGGATAGTTAATGTCATTTGTATTAGTGTACAATATATACATTATCCTAAATATATCAAATTATTATGTCACTAAATAAATTATAATACATGTATACAACATGTATTATAATTTATATAATTCTGTCAAGTAAAGATAGTGGGGTGAGAAGGATTGCATTTGCTTCGTAATTGTGGTGAAGTATAAAATAGCAGGAAATGGAAATACTCGAATAAAGTTCAAATAACTCAATACAAGTGAGTGTGGTTTTATAAGGGCGTTCTGCTTCTGAATGCTGACTGAAACTTTCAAGTAGGTTGAACCACAGGGTTTTACTCCACAACATTTCAAGGCAGGTATTTTGCCTTCAGCAAGTCACAGTTGTTACCCATGACCTGTGTTTAAGACTTTGTGTAAAACACGGCTTTATAAACCAGCCTCTCAACATACTTCAGTGTTACCTGTAGTGATAAGATAAGATCGGCCTTTACCTTTTACAGAGTTTTGGATATCAATGTTGAAGCTTAGTGTCTTATCTATGATGAAAAACTTGAATTTATGCCCTTTTCCCTTCTTCCTTTACTCCTTTCTTCACCTGTGCAGATTCGCAGGGCCTTGCTTCAGATCTTGTTTCCTGAAAAACCTTTCCACTGGGCCCGACACATCATCATCGCATTTTGTCTCATCTTCATTGTCAACATTCTTGTAATATTCGTGCCCTCAATCCGCGACATCTTCGGCCTCATTGGTATGTTTACACGGAGAGAATGTTACAGATTCTATGATGTGAACTGCATCACCTATAAAACATTCTGCTCATTTGTCTCCCATCATCTACAGGAGCCACATCTGCCCCCAGCCTCATTTTTATCCTTCCTGGAATCTTCTACGTCCGGATCGTTCCTGAAGACCAGGAGCCTATGAAGTCAAGACCCAAGATTCAGGTAGAGATCAACTTTTTCAAGCTATTAAAGAGTTTTCTTGGTCATTTGAATGTTATGCGCTGTTGATACTGGTGTTGTTTTCTTGCAGGCTGCATGCTTTGCTGCATTGGGATTCGTCTTCATGGTCATGAGTTTGTCGTTTATTATCATTGACTGGGTGACCGGAGAATCTCGAAGTGGAGGTGGCCATTAGACGCCACGACTGAACGGAGGTACTACAAGCAGAATGTGAACCAAAGCTCTCCCTCTCAATAAATTACCCCGATCTTTGAAGTTGTCATCCAAAGCCAAACAGGAATATTTGGCTACACAAGGCGAAGGATATGTGAAGGACCTTTCGCTTACTTTTTTTTTTAGAAAAAAGGAAAATGTTTCAACATGTGATGGGGCAGGAAAAAAACATCCTGTAATGGAGGAGAGAACACAGATGTATGAAAATACAAAGTGATGTGTTTGGGGGTCATGTGCAGCAAAAGGATGAATGGGAACATCGTGACTAAAATGGAAATCCCGTTTTAGAGTATGGATGTGTACAGTTCCATGGAATAGCTCAGTCACTGCCAACATCCTTCTACTCTACTTCCCTACCATCTCAGATTTTACAGGACATTAATTTGAGTTGTGAGGCAATCATTTCCTTTCTTTTCCCAGGTGTTTGCTTTTGATCAAACAAAATCAGACATTTCAGTTTGTTCCTTTGTCAGTCGCAGTTTGAAAACTGCCAAACTTGCCAGTGCAGTGTTGCTCAAATTTCCCTAAACTTGACAGATTCACCTAAATGTGAGCAGCAGTTCTACACAAACACTTCCATTCAATCAAATTACAATGTGATGTGACTCTTACCTGGAATTTAACTGATGTGCTTAATGTGAAATTGTATTAATCTTGTTTTTTTTGACACTTAACATGAGTGTTGTAAAGGTGATCTTCAGAGCTGAGTCTGAGCTGCCCACCGATCCAACAAATATGGTGCAATTTGTAGGATTTTGCTGCTGTTCATGAAGGTCAAACACACAGTTCCTGACGATCATGTGTGAATGAACAGACACAGAGAGGTGGTTTGTACAATACAAAGTTTTTATGTGAGCCTGAACATCCGTAGCTGCAAACCAAAGACTATATTTATTGTGTCACATTAAGAGAAAGTGTAACACACTATTTTTTTACCATGTTCGGCAAAAAAGCCAATTCGAAATTGTGCATTAAAACATCAGCAGTGTTAGAAATACTGTGTATGTTTCAGCCGTCCCAGAAACTATTCAGTATGTTGAATAATATTAAGTTAAAATGAATGGAGTCTCTTTTTTGTGTTTAAAATTTGACAAAAAAAAAAACTTTGTTATTCATCTTGTACATTTTTAAATTAATTTGAATGTTGTTATCTGTCAATAAAATGTCTTTCATTTGTATGTGTGTTTTGTGATGCTTTTTAATCTACATACAAAGTCATAAAAAGGAACGTACTCACAGCAGGAGATGAACCACAGTGCACTGCCTCCTCCTGAAAATGGAAGTAACACATTCATTTGTGCTCAGCGTCTGAGTGAAAGAAGAAAAGTGGGGGTTAGAGAAGTGTGGTTGTCCGTTTCCTGCTTTGAGTTGGTGTGTGCACAGAACAGAGAAGAGAAACTTCCTTGAATGTAGAGCTGACTTCTGACAGAGCAGCGAGGACGCTTTATCAATTGCTCAATGCATTATAATCTAAAATAACCAGAGAGGACCATGAGCCGAGGATCTAAATGTAAACCGGAGAGTGACCGGAGCTCTCTGCTGAGCCTTCAGGAGAGTGAGAAGCTGGAGGAGCTGCTGGGCAGAAGGTGTGCTGTAAGTTCTGAGCTGGCCTGGGAGAGGGTTGACTACTATGGCACTGATGTTCTGCTTCATCTGATCGTACTTGTGTCTGTTTTGATAGAAGGTTTTCTCTAAAATTGAAAGGAGAAGGTATTCATGTCAGCACAGGATGTACTGAGTGCTACATAAAAATGGAAAATTCCGTTTTAGCCCTCAAAGAATTCTCTTGCCTTCAAACATTATATACAGAAAATGAACACAGTTAACAGCTGAATGATACGTTGAAGACTGTTACCGTCTATATTTAACCTAACATCAATCGCGCAGCTGCATCGTTTCTCATCTGCCTTTTCTTGTTTTCTAATTTGTTTTTAATCTATTTTACTACATTTAAAGGCCAGGATTTTTTCTTTATTTAAAAAAAAAGTATTTTCTTCAAGCAAGTCTATTGTGTGTTGTTGTAAATGCAGTTTAAACACTAGCTGACATTAGGTCATCAAAAAGGAGGTAGCTGTAACAGGAAATGGTTGCTGAAACATTTCTTCCTCTGCTGTCAGAATTAGATGCTTGGCTTGGTTTAGTCTGACACTAGAGCAGCAGTTAGTTCCTGACTCTCCTTTGGCTGCAGAGGTAAACACCCTGCCTGTAGCTGACTGGTATAACGACTAAACACTGGACTGGCACGAGATGCTCATTTAAATCATTTAGACAGTTGCTGTTGAAAATAGAGAGCGTTACAAGACTTTAAGAGCTTATCTGAGCAAATGAAAACAGATGAGGAAGTTAATCTTCCCTGCAAATTTGCATGTGAACTGTAATAAAGTGCTCTCAAGAGTCATATCAATTCTGAACTGTTTTGTCTGTGTGTTCAAGTCCATGGCCACTGCGGTGGCACAGTTGTTCATGGCTCTGCCTCACAGTCCATCCATGTGGAGCCTGCAGCACACCGGGGTGGCCTGCTTCGTCAAAGACAACCCCCAGCGCTCCTACTTTATACGGATGTTTGATTTGAAGGTAATTTCTCTGATAATTTAGCAGGAATCCACATATTCACTTCTTTTAGATGATGATCTAATCACTGAGAATGTGTTGTCCTTTTGAAAAGCATTAAACTATGACTCAAGCATTACATGAGTAATACTGAGCTATTAAGGATGTTTTTCCACAGGCAGGGAGACTGGTCTGGGAGCAGGAGCTCTACAACCAGATTGTTTACTCGTCACCACAGCCCTTCTTTCATACCTTCCCTGCAGATGTAAGCACACTCTTATTTGACCCCTGTGCGCACTTGTAGCTGTGATGCAAGGTTTCTGTTAAAATCATCATTATGGTTCACAAATCGTCACCCAGTGCTTTGTAAGAGACACTTGCGTTTGATTCTTCGTGTTGCACAATGTAGGACTGTCAAGTGGGACTGAACTTCTCAGAACGACAGGAAGCAGAGGCCTTCAAAAATGCTGTCGAGGAGAAAATCAACCAAAGAAACAACAGACAAGGTCAGCGAAGCCACAGCCTCTGCTTTGATGATTATATTTAGAATTGGACAGCAGGAATACCATTTTTGAAAATTATAGTGCATTGCTATATTTGTAGTATCTTTGTGTATAAGCCATGCTCCTGTGCTATTATTTAGATCATGGAACAACATTGTGGAAAACATTTTGCTTGAATGCTGCAGTTTTTTGGGTTTTTCTTTTTGTTTTTTTTGCTAAAGCCTTTATTTAATTTGGAAATTGGATTCAAATGACATTCTTTAAAAATAGATATTTTTTAAAAGTGCTAAAAAAAACTTATGCAATATTATTGATAAATACATTCTTAAAACCTATATGACATGGTAGGACATTTTAGCTTGTGATGGAACATAATTACGCACATTTACGTTAAACACTGTACTTGTATTTCCATGTTGTCCTACTTTCTGCTTCCACTCCACAATATTTAGAAGGCAAATGTTTCCCTTTGTGCTCTACTGCATTTATCTAAAAGCTTTAGTTACTAACTTTTTTTTTTGCATATTCAGGTATTATTCGAGAATATAAACTGTCTAAAAAAAATGATGCTATGATATTATAAGTTAAGCTACTAGGTAGTATACCAAGTGATTAAAATTAGCTACAGAGTGAAACTAAAGCACACGTTAGTGAATCACAATTAGAATCTCATAATATAAAACATGGGATTCTAAAAATGGTTATACTGTATAATGACCATTTTTGCTTTAGGTACATGAAGAATATGTTGATGCTGATATATTTGAACTGTTATTTAAGCAGTATTTCTACACTCCAACATTGCTTCTATTACTTCAGCAAAGGATCTAAGTGCTACAGTTTCTACCTGTGTAAATGTTCTGTTATGGTGATGCAAAATGGTTTCTCTCACCTCCTTATTGACAGATAAGAAACACCGCCCTCTGCCGACGAATGGTGAGAAAGCACCACATTTTGTAATTGCATTTTTCTATTTAAACATTTAGCACACTGTGAGGTTAAATAAATGTTTTCTCTTTCCCTGCCACTGTAGACAGAGGATCCCTGCCTCCGCTCCCACCCGAAAAAGGTGTGTGACTCTTTTATCTCATCTTGTCTGGATTCTAACTTAAGCTACCACCAATAATGCATAAAATAAAAAAATAAAAAACACATCAACCAGTATGTGCTCTGTATTTTCTCTAACAGCAGCATCTGGAAACCCTGGTTCTTTCCACATGGCCACGGTGGATATCCAGAACCCAGACATCCAGTCTTCACGCTATCGATCGATGCCTTCACCTGCTCCCTCAGTTCTGAGTAGCAAAGGAAAGAAGGACAAAAAGAGCAAGAAGAAAGGCCCCAAACTCTCCAAAGCAGACATAGGAGCACCCAGCGGGTTTAAGTGAGTGTTAAAGTCAGTGAATGTATTTCTATGATGTCAAGCAGTGAAGTTTGGTTGATATTTACAGAAGATGTTTACCGTAACTGCATCATATAGTTCTCTTTTTCCTTCCTTTCTTCCAGACATGTCAGTCATGTCGGCTGGGACCCCAACAACCTTGACCCTGACCTGTTGAAGCTTCTTTCCCAAGCTGGCATTGGTGAGGCTGAGATGAATGACGAACACACCTCCCAGCTCATCTACAACGTCATCGAGCAGTCAGGAGGCATGGAGGCGGTCAAAAGGGAGGCGAGAGGAGGTGAGACTCATGCTGCATCATTTTGAATCTGTTTATCAGTCCCACTGCTCCACACAGGCCAATGTCATGCTGTAAAGCTCGGACTGAGTTGTAATGTATGTCTTGTGGCCTTGCATCACAGGACCTCCACCACCTCCATCCGGCAGACAGGGACCCCTGCCTCCTCTGCCGGGCCACGGTCCCTCTGCTCCGACCCCTCCACCCCCACGAGGCCGCTCTGGCCCCCTGCCTCCCGTCCCAGGCCAATCACAGCGAGGACCCGCGTTCCACCAGCCGCCTCCGGCACGTGGAGGCGTGCCACCCCTTCCTCCAACAAGCCGAGGCGGCCCTCCACCACCACCGCCACCAGCACACTCGTCACCTTCTCATTTCCCTTCACCACCATCCTCCAGGCCCTCTGTTGGCTCACCCTCCACCCACAACCTGCCTCCTCCTCCACCACCGTCAAGCCAACAGCGCTCTACGGGTTTCCCACCTCCTCCTGTCCCGTCTACACCCAGCAGAGGAGGAGGAGGAGGAGGCCCACCACCTCCTCCTCCTCCACCACCACCCCCACCTCCTCAGACAGATTTCCCACCTCCTCCACCTATTTTCTCTGGTGGACCTGGTGGACCTCCACCACCACCTCCTCCTGCATCCTCCGGAGGAGGAGACAGCAGAGGAGCTTTGCTCGATCAGATCCGGCTGGGGAAGAAGCTCAGAAATGTAAAGCAACTCGGTTTTCTCGAGAACATATTTAAAGTACAAAGCTCTTGACTGTCATGCTGTTATGTGTCATGATTAAAAGTCTGTTGTCCTCCTTTCCTGCTGTGTGCTTCAGGTGGGAGACACGCCTGATTCAGCTCCGCCTGCACCATCAGAATCAAACGAGGGCATCGTCGGTGCTCTCATGATGGTCATGCAGAAGAGGAGCAAAGTCATCCATTCCTCTGGTACATATTAGAATACCAGATACATCTTTTCACATATGGTACATGTGCTGAACCATCACAGGGATAAAATCTGTATATCTGTTCTCCCTTTCAGGTGAAAGTGAAGATGAAGGTGGAGATGACGATGATGATGACGACGAGTGGGATGACTGATGTTTTTTGCGGATTTGGAGCTTAGTTCAGCTGTGATTTTTACCTTTTAACCTCTGAACTGCGACACTGTTCCATGTGATGATCTGTTGCAGGTTCTGAAATTGCAAACTAGAGTCGTACATGTGAGAAACTGTGTTGGTGATAAAGTAAATAAACAAGAAGTTCGATACAAAAGAAATAATTTATGAGAAATCAGAGATGTTTATATACTTGTTCCAACATTTCCAGTGTAGGGTTCATCTGCATAACAACACATAGCAGCGAGTTACTCACTGTGAAGGTGAATAGTGGCTCTTCCTTTAAAAAGAGCCATTTCAAAAGTCTGTAAATGCAGCTTATGACCGAACACCAACAAACAATACTAAATCTGAGCCAGTTTCATCCCCATTTTTATAACATAAAAAAATTAGGTTCCTGTATCATTTTCTCATACATCTGTGCAAAGATCCCCAAATTCCCTCGAATACCACCACCAACAAAGTGCATGACTGGAAGAACACTGTACGCTATACATATCTTCAATACTCACATACTCTAGATCACTAAAGCACAGGACAGTAAGGGAGTCATTACATGACAACATCCAATGGAATTAGCTTAACAGAATACATTACACCTTACAAACATCATAACACACCGAGGTTGGAAACAGTAAAATGTACAACTTGCAACAAACAACAACAGTACGCATGCAAAATATGCATTTATGTCATATTATCTTCATACAATACAAGAGTAATCCATATCATGACCATATATATTATATTCACAATCAATATATTACATTTTCTGTTTCAAGATACTTAAAAGAGACCATACCTGTGTTTTTGCATGTTTGAGCCCGTTAACTATATGTTGCATATACTTTACATCACAGTCAGCCTTTTTCCAGAACAACACCAAGTTTGCGTGAGTTATGTGATCGATCCCAATGTGCAGTCTTTGTTCTTTTTTTTCACCACAGTAACGTTACAGTTGCGTGGCAATACGGCTGTGTTTCAAAAACTAGAGATGTATATCCTTATTTAGAATGTGGTCATCAGTAGTGTAAAATATATTTATTATGTCTTTACTGGACTGACACTTGCAAAACCACCAATATAGTACTTTAACGACAGAATGACAGCAGCATCACCTGCCTAATGAATGGAAGTGACACCCAGAGTGTCAAAACTAAAAGTCCACCATAAAGTCCAGACAGGCCAGTGTTGGACAGCTCTGTGCCTGTTCTCTAGCCGAGGCCTTGGTCCTGACTTTCTGTGTGCCTGCGGCTGGTCCTCTTGCGCTGCTGCTGCTGCTGCTGTTTAGGGCTGAGTTGTTCCCAGTAGGACTGGCAGTACTGGTTTATCAGTCTAATCTCGGGTGGGAAGGGTGTGGAGACAAGGGACGGCTGAGGGTAAGGCCCCGCCTGGCGAGTTTTTGGCTCTTCGTCCTCATCTTGAGCGGTGAGAGCTAAAACGATATCTCGATCGAGGATGCGCAATGCTACGCGGGCCACAGTGTGTTTAAAGTTGTTTTCAGTGGCGAGGCAGTGGTAGAGCCCTGCGTCTGACTGGTTCAGAGACTTCAGAAGGATGCCATGGTTGGTCTTCAGAACTCCCACACGGTTGAGCTGCAATAAGAAGAACGAATGAGTTCCAAAGTCCAAAAGAGGGAACAACAGATTTAAATTGATGTCCATGTTAGGGGATAGAGGAAGAAACTGTGTGCCAATTTGGGGAAATACACTTGTTTGCTTTCTTGCTTAGAGCTAGATGAGAAAACAGAAATCTCTCATGTCTGTCTGCTGAATACGAAGCCACAGTCGGCAGCTCATTTGCTTAGATCAAAATGTGGAAGAAACCAGCTTGGTATAAAAGGTTATGTCAGTGCCAGAAGTTTACAAACTAAGATGTAATATCTGGTTTGTGTGTAAACACAAATTGTCTGTCCATCCATTATCTATACACCGCTTAATCCTCACTAGGGTCGCAGGAGTCTATCCCAGCTGACTCAGGGCGAAGGCAGGGGACACCTTGGACAGGTCACCAGTCTATCGCAGGGCTACACTTAGTGATAGACAACTAAGCACACTCACATTCACACCTACAGACAATTTAGAATCACCAATTAACCTCAGCATATTTTTGGACTGTGTGGGAGGAAGCCGGAGAGATTCCAATGTCCCCCACCGGCAACCTTCTTGCTGCGAGGCAACAGTGCTACCAACTGCACCACCCTGCAGCCCTTAACACAAATTGTGCTTTACAGAATTATGTGCTGAACTATTTCTCGGCAATCTTTATATTTACTAGACATACATGATAGTGGTCTTTTTCTTTTCTCATCTAATTCTCACTTTTAAAGAAAAAAAAAGGGGAGTCCAAAAAATGTCCAAAGATTCTTTTCAGATTTTGCAAAATGTAATTGCTCTTTCTCACCACTTTCCTCTTTCCTTCCCTCTGAAAAAGCCACTTGACTGTGGCCTGAGGAGAGCGAGGCTGACACTCCAAGAAGGTGCTGCTGCCCTCCACCCCAAACTGCACAATCTCTCTCAGGCGCTTCTCCACTGAAAATGTAGACAGAAAAAAAGTGAAAACTTCCTATAACAAAAAAATTTGAAGTGTGTGATTATTTACACATCAAGAATTGCCTCACCTTTGGCGTTAAAGCCTCTACACTGCCTCAGTGGATCACCGTGTTTGACATCCTGTCTTCTGCTCCTCCTGTGACAAAAATCAGAATTAAAATTTAAATAGAATTGACACATACTCACTTTCATGCCTAGAAGCATCTCTGACCTTTTGGTCGACGGGGTGAAGGCCGAGCAGCTCTCTCCGTCCCAGGCACAGTAGGGGTCCCGGGCCAGGCAGCAGTCAGAGCAGGCCCTGCCGTACACACCACAGCGGTGCAGTGATACCTGGGTTAGCCCCGCATCTGAAGACACGTACAACTGTTGCTGTGGTGACAAAAGCAAAACAGGTTAAACTCAGTGAGGATGTGAAGAACCAGCTTCAATATATGCAGTAATGTGTATATCACAGTCTTTAGGAACAAGGTGCTTACTCTTTTAGATGATATCTTCATGGTTTTGACTGGAGCTCTTGTCTATAAATTAACAAACAGTAAAAAGTTAAAAACAAAAAAAATCTCCTTGGAGATTATTGCATTCTAGTCATTTCAGGATCACATATCTAAACATACCCTAAAAACCTCCACCTCCTCCAGTGTCAGCTCCTCCATGCTGGTTGGGTCCTTAGGCAAGACTATGACTTTTTGCACGGTGCCTCGATCTAAAAATGAGATGAATTATGATCAAGACCTACATTGTCTAGAAGAAAGAAAAAATCCTTCCAGCAGGCTTGACCGCTGCAGCTGCCTCACCTGTCCCCAGGAAGAGCACCTCGTAGCGTCCATCCACAGCATCCACCTGATCCACCACCAGGGCGGTGAAACGGTAGTCCACCCCAGTTCTCACCACCAGAGGGCGGCGATGAATAGGATAAACCGGGTGAAACATGAGGGGATGGGCTCTGATGAAATTCACAGCCTCATCTGAGAAGTTCTTGGAGGATCGGATACCAGGAGTGAAGGTTCCTCCTGGACACTGGATGGGAAAAAGAAAGAGGTGGAATTAGTGCCTGTGCAAATTTGTTCTTATCATGTGTTTGTTTTGTTTTTTAATGCAGATTATAATAGTTTATTAGAGTGGATCACTTTGGAGATAACAAGACAGAAACCTACTGTCCCAGGTCGAGGATAAGGAATCTTGCCAGTGTACTCTGTCCATTGGTAGTTATGTCCATGTTTGTGGGCAAATGGTCCATTGAAAACATTGCGGATATCAGCCATTGAGTACACGCAGACTGCTGAGCCTTTGAACACAGAGCTTTGAGCACAAACAGACAATTAAGGTGAGAGTTAGCGGTAGGAGACAGCATGCACCCAACCCATGAAATTAAAGTGTGAATTAACCACAAAAATGTGTGAAAAAAAAACAGAGTTAATGAGGTTGGGGGAACCACGCCTCCAAGCCAAGAATTACTTACCCTGCGGTAGTGAAGAGAGCGTACACCATGGGGTTTCTTTCATCCTGCGTTGGCTGAATAAAGACGTCCCCTGCAAGAAGAATGATATGCAGATCAATAACACAAAGCAAGTCAAAGCACTTGCAATTAAAATGCAATCAGTTCAAATGCAGCGCTTGTTTTATTGTGACTTTACGTAGTTCATCAAATCGTGTCTCCACTCCATCTTCCCCTATCACCGAACAGATAAGACGAGCCTTCAGGAACGTGGTCCAGCGGTTCACCAGGGACTTCTGCCCTCCTTCATCATTCTAGACAGGAGAGAAATTAGGTCATGATTCAATATGTGCAACGCGTTTCTTATCACAAGGTATGCCGCATATATTTTCACGTTGCATACAGTGTGCTTTGTGCTCACCAGACACACTCTTCCCACCCGTGCTAAAACAGTGGGGCTCGCCCCGCCGCTCGAGTCTAGACTCTTCTCGCGGAAAAAGAAGTAAAGTTTGTCGTCATTTTTTTCTGCACTGTCAGGGATCTGCTGGATCTGAATAAACACAGGCTCTAGAGGATAAAAACAGATAAGCAAAGAGAGGATTGAGACAAGTGGTTGTCAAATAAAATGAGAGGAACCATAACCTGTAATCTTCAACATTTACCTCCTCACACCCTCACTTACTCACCGTTGAGCCACCTGGAGTCATACTGTTCTGTCCTGATTGCTGTTCTCCCTCCCATGGTCCTAAACACAGCAGCATCTGTACTCATAAAGTCGATATGTACCCCCGCATACAGGTTACTATCTGCAAAGGTGGGACAAGAAGACAACAGAGTGGTGAAATGTCGGTAGTTTGAGGAATCTGAGAAGAATTTCTATCTATAAATCAAACATGTCTCACTGATCAGAACTGCAACGTTCTCCTGTTTGGGATCGTAGGAACATTTTCCCTTCCCTGAATCCACATACCCGGGGACCAGCCTAAACAGGTAGTCCTGTAGAGGCAGATTAGACAGGGAGTATGCATAAAAATAGACCGCCAACACGTCACAAGGGAACATGGGAAAATCATAAACAAATCGGTGTCCCAGTTTGTAGTCCTGAAATATTTAGCAGGACGCAGCTTTCCAGGTCTACTGCTGGGGGACTTTAGCTGTAAATCCCACATGGGGGTACTGTAAATGCCTTGTTCACCTCGGCCCTCCATCCTCGGTTGATAAATGTGCAGATGGGTTGGTACGCCCCCGTCCCACAGGTGTAGAGGTGGGTGCGGTTCCACGGCTCTATCAACCGCACAAAGTTGGCACATTCACCCTGGACAAAAGAGGAGTAAGACAAATGGAATTCAAACAACGCTGCACCGTTTTGAAAGCAGGAGCCTCCGATTTTTGAAAGGGCAGGATGTAAATACATGATCCCACCTGTCTTCCCTTTCCCGTCATCTGACATTCTCCCTTTCTCTTTGCAGATGCTGGCCAGTGGATCTGTTTGTCAAAACACCCCAAAAATTGTGAATTATTAGAGACTTAGAGGCTTAATACCACATTGCAAATAGCAGACTGGATTTACGAAGCAAGCTGCTGGAATGTGTACGCACTATAAGTGGCTCCTTGTTGACATTATGCATGTCCAGAGCCACCAGGTACTCCCGGCTGCCCAAGTACAGACGGCCCTGATCCTGATCCATCAGGAGGATGCGGTAGTCGCTTGTGTTGAAGGAGAAACTGAAGGGTCGTGCTGCTCTTGTGTCCATGAGCTCTGTGCAGAAAGTGTTGTTGTTTTGTTAAAAAAGAAAAAGAAAGAAAAACAGCAAGTATAGCAAACCTCTCAAATCTTTTCACATTATTCCCTTTATGACTTTAACATGTTTCATTACTGACTTGGATGAACTTGTGGTCCTTTAAACAACACCTCTCAGTGGAAAATGTGTGTCACTGATTAAATATAACTCAACTTAGTGCATTTTAAGAAACATTTTCGCTTTTAAGATCTCAATATTTTATGTGTCCCGGCTCTCTGATTGAGTTTAAGGCGCTGCATGCCCTTTGGAGTTAGACGAAAAAGCAGGTCCCTTAGGAAACACGGTCAGTGGAACTCGCAGCTAATTCTCAAGATCAGGTTTGTGTTCAGCAGAGCGTAACCTGTTAAGACATGCTGCGGTGGAAAATGTTTCTCGTTTTTTTTTTTTTTGTTCTCCTGAAAGCTTTGATTGAACAATTTTCATCTGCTGCGAGACAAATGGACTCTGAGCAGCACTCTGCCTGTGAACGCTAGTTTCCATTATTCCATCCAGCAATTTAATGCATGAGTTTAAACACACAAGGAGCCACACGCACGCATGCATGCACACACACACACATCTGTGGCATGTGCAAAATACTGACCACCATATGTGCACACTGGGACATGGCAGAGGCATGTCAAAGACAGCAGGCTTATATAATGACAAATGTTCGCAGAGACCCTCAGAAGCGGGCTTACAGGGATTCAAGAGGAAGCAGAATCTTTATTTACATCAAAGTGCCTGCCATCTTCCGTCGGAGGTCAGTGTTAACAGGATGCAGTCAAGGTGCCACTAAAATAAGCTATGCAATCGGATCTCCGGACGACACGGGATGGAGTCACAGAGGTGGGACGAGGTCCGGTTCTGTTCCTGGGAGGTAAACACAGGATAACAAGCCTCTGGCCAAACTCCACTGGGCCATAGTGGATTCACTGGACAGGCTAAATGTAGAAACACCACACCCCTATACATGTCTCCATTCTCCAAAAATAGCAAACAATGTACTGCCATCATCTGGTAAACATTCAGCAAACACTTATCCCCTGACAACATTCTGACACCGATAGGGAAACACTGGGAAGGACACACAATTGAAGTATGAAGCTACAGCTGGGCCACTATGAGCTCTCATGTTACAACTTGACAACATATTGTCACTGAGGCACTAATGACTACTGCCATTTAGTCCCAGACTTATCTGTAGTATGAACAAACTGGTGACAGCACGGCGAAGGCATGAGATTCTAAAACGTGGCTTTGGTTACACTGCACATTTTGCTCTCTAGCAATGCTGACTAATTCTCTCAAATAGGCCTTAGTCGATCCCTCTGAAGTGTCTATAACTGACACAACTTCCAGCAGCAGAGGAAACAATACGAGGTCTCTATCCTCTGCAGGCCTCCTGTACCCCAGAGTGTCACTTAGGCCGACTCATTCGCTCAGAAGAGTCACATGTCCTCCAGCCGCCCCGAAGCCTCCTCCACAGGCGCCTCAGGGAACAAAGAGACTCGCTGTCACAAACAATGAACAATAAATCCTTGGAGTGGCAGAAAACAGTTGGAGAGTAAATCCAACTTTTCCCCGTTTTGTTTGGTATTAAGGGGAAGGGTGAGTGAGGTCGGTGAATGTGGCTGCTTTATCGGTGAGACCTCACCGACAATGTAAAATTCAACACGTCTCGGCTGCACCGAACAAGCTCCTGTGTATGAATTAGTTATGAAGAGCTCTGTGCAGATGTGAATTCCTTCATCTGAGAGGAACACGATCAAGTTCAAGACCAAACTTGTGTAATTGGTCAGACTAATACTTTGTTCGCCGTGCTGCAAAAACACATTTGTACTTATAAGCTGTTTACTGAAAGGGGATTAGTGTTAAAGGTCATATAAAAATGCACTGCAATTACTCTCTCAAGCCTCAGATGGAACTGTGTCTCTGTACACCACCGCAGCTATCAACAGCATGTAGACAGCTGTTTTGAGTCTCACCAAATCATCTGAATTCAAAACAGCTCTGCATGTGATGTGAGATTCCAACTGCAACTTGTTATCAAGCGCAGATCTCACCGTCAAGCTCACCTCTAATCTGCCTCAGATGACTTTTCTTCAAATTGCACAAAATCATTCTCATCAAATCGCTGCACTTTAACAAGATAAGCCACGAAACGCTGCCTAGACCTGACCTGCAAACCAGAACGCTGTGACTCAGCTCCACATGAAAGCACGCAAGAATGTTATAAACCTGATCCACTCCTCTAATTCTCACTTGCATGTAGTTCAGGTGTGACGTGTTCGCAAGTGTCCGCCGGTCAAGGTGACAACATGATATGGATGCAGAAATGACTATAATCATCCTGCATTGTTTAGATCAAAGGTGTCATCCACATATTTGTAACACGACTCTCTAGCATTAAACGTAAAGAGGACAGAGAGCAGACTACATGGGAAAACCCCCAATGTCTACAAAAAAAAAATATCACAATCCGCCTCTTCTTGAATTTACACCCCGTGGCCCAAACATTACCCTCCTAAAATATCATTTAGCTCTTGTGATCAAATTTCAGGTGTTTCCTTTTTTGTGGCGTAATGTCAGACATCAAAAACAAAGAAGAACTGACAGGTCAGGACGTAGTGCGTGTGGGCTACAGGGTGTGGAGAAAAACTCTGCCAAAGGGCACCGCAAGTAACCAGCCACACGTAATATCCACCTTTTGTTTTCAGTGTTGCACTGTTTGACATGTGGCAGGAAATAACGTTCTTTACATATGCATAAAGAGGAAACATAACCGCCTCGTGGGTGTGAGTTTGTGTGCACGAGAGTGATTCAGTGGGACAAACCAAACAAGCAAAATAAACTATTATGATAATCCTTACTGTCAGAGGAGTTTTAGTTAATCTGTATGAACTCACCTTTGAAGGAGAGGCGAACCCGCGGAGCAGACTGCTGCAGGCCCGAGCCTCTGTAAACACATAAGGCCAACAGGAGGAGTTGGGCTCCAGATGCTGTCATGGTAACAGCCATGCAGGTAGCCCACAGAGATCTAAATCTGGACGAAAGAAGAAAGAGGAATGAACTATTATTATAGAGTGCCCCATGAGAAATATGAGACAGAAAAAGAAGGGAAGGACAGGCAAGAAACTCTCTCTCTCTCTTTCTCTGATCTCTCTGATCAGAAGTTTGGCCTGCAGCCTTCCAAGGCAAGGCGTATAGTTTGGCAGGAGAGAACAACGTCCAAATCTTCACACCTGCTCTGGAAAATATGACAGGCCTATTATTTATTTAAAGTGTAAATGTAGTGAGGTATGTGTCAGGACTGTATAAAGGCACTTGCAGTCACTTGGAAAAAGTCTGAAAAAAAAGAAGATGAATGTCTTCTGGTGTGTACATTTTACTAAACATGTTTCTTGTGCCTACATTTCGCTCGTGTTTTGACTGTATAATAAAAGATGATGAAGATGCCCATCAATGATTCCCTCCGGCTCTCCCTCAGTCTTTCAACAAAGCCTGTCCACGTACCTAGAGAAGTTGACGAGTGAAATACATGACAGTTCAAAGAAACAGGTAGTCCTCGCTGAAACAATTTCTGACAGTTTAGGGGTGTTGAAACGTAGCCTAACTGTTAGACCTTAACTCAAGCATTCATTATGCATCTGCACTTTGCTGGAGAGGATTCCGTATAAATTATGAATACTAAAAGCTGAGTCCATAACATCCATTAAATTGTCTCCCTGAAGGTGTGCTTTGCTTGGGCTATAAGCTATCCCGTGGGCTTTTTCTTTTTCTTTTTTCTTCTCATGACATCCATGTAAGCGAGGCCTCCTGTGTACATGGTACAAGTCTGGAAATGAGCTTTTAGGGAAGAGCTGTTCATGGGTGTGATCGCACAAAATGTTGATCATTTTTTTGGGGTTGTTTTTCCCCCAATAACTCATGATTTTGCGTGTGACACATAATGCAACACATATGCTACCATAAAAAATCAAAAAAAAGAAATCTGAACATTGTGATGAAATGACTGGCATGGTGACCATTTAGAAATTTGAAACAGAAGCTACTGGGAACACCTAACAGCCTTCCTGGCATCATCCTTATCTGCTCACCAGGGGGGTTCTGATTTCTGTTCCCTCTGTCAAACACTGTATATTAACTGCTAATAATACACCAGGAGATGTGTGTGATGAAAATGAGGCAAAATGACAGCCAGAAAACAGCCTGTGTGTCTTCAGGAATAAAACACTGTCAACAAATATGCCAATAATCATCTGATCAGTATAAATCAGTTGAACATATGGCCACACATCTGAATACGTGTTAAAAATGTCTTTGATTTGGTGAACTTCTATCTGAGTGTAATTTATGTCACACCCTTTATATTTAACCTGCTCTCGTTTAGATAAAGACAAAAAAAAAAAAACAGTCAACTATTGAAATGCTTCATAAATATATAAAAATCACCAATCAGGCAATATCAGGTTACTAAATCATTGCATTGTGCCTGAGGGGCTCTCAGTAGTATTAAGTGATGGCCTGATTTCGAGGTACTTCCACGGTGGTTCTGTTGGTTTTCTGCACTGGGTGGGAACAGGAGGACAGATTAAAGTTCTGCTGTAATAATATATGTTTCCCCTTTAAGAAATAATTATAGGATTTTCTATAACCGAGTTCTTTTTTCAGCGGAGGAGTGTGCACTTACCTGTGAACTCAACATCCAGAAATAGGAACCGTACAAATGCGTGCGCTTCAGCCATCTACCAACGCAGAGCTCGGCTACAGAGTAACCAAACGTGGGTTAAAAGTTAAACCAGAGACAAGTTAAACGTCCTACCTTTGATTTCTGGCTCTGTCGGTCGCTGCTGTGCCTCTCGGATCCACTAAAACTTGCGGGATGTTACCGCTGCATTCCCCGCGTTTTGCGCTTCGGGAACTGGGCTGGAAATTTTTCCTTTCAGCGCGGCTGTGCGCAGACAGAAAGCAATCCGATAGGTTTGCAAATCCCTTCCAGAGAAGAAAAAAAAAAAAGCTAATCAGTCGCTATTAACCGACGGTATTCTTCCAGGCAAAAAAAAAGAAAGAAAGAAAGAAAAAGAAAAACACACACACAGCTGATCCCTGAACGCTTGTTCCACTTTTTTTTCCCAAAAAAAAAGTTTACGCCTGGATGGCAGCACCCATCACCGTGATGTGGTCTAGATGTTGGTCCATGGATCCGTCAAAGGGGAGTTTTTGGGGGGTGACTGAGTGAGAATCAAGTGACCAGGTGCAGGTGTTGGGAGAGTGTCTGCCCTGCTGTCCTCTCCCTTCTGTTCTGCCCCCACCCAGCCTTCCCTCTCCTGTTGGCCCACAGCAGCATTGGACCAAACCTCTTGGTACACCATATGGGTATGATTAACCCTGTCACTGCTGGTGAGCTGAACACTGCTCCACTCTACTGTAAACTGTTACTAATCTATGTCAGTCCCTCACTTTTCCTCTGGCAAAGCTTTGTTAAACTGAATAATTCAGCCAAACTGTTGGACTCTTTTTATAAACGTGTTTCTCAGGCACCAGGGGGGCCGGAGACTATTCTTGTGCATGATGCAGGGGCTTAAATTTACTATTAAACACCGAGAGGCTACCAGGACAATGTCACCATTACTCTTCAGCTCTACATGAGAGCCAGGTCAGCCGAAAAAGATTCCAAAGATTCCTCCCTGGCTGGCTCCAGCGCTCATGACAACAGTGACAAAGCAAGCAAAAGGCGGGGGGACTGGATGTAAAGGCCATCCATCCTTTTAACAGAACCTTAAGTTTGAAATTAAAGAAGCTTTTACAGCTTCTCTCATCATTACCGGCTTTGTGGATGAGCTCTGACGCAGTACGGTGCACTAAAGACACAAAAGCAGAGGTATTCTGAGGAACAGCCTGGCAGCAAAATAAAATAAACACGTAAGAGCAATGTGGTGTGTCAGTGTGCAAAAGGTCACAGAAAAGGGCAGTTCCTGGCAAACCTCAGACTGCGTCACTTTATACTTTTTGCATTTATCTCTAATGCACGTTCTCAGGATTGATTCATCTTGTTTGGAAGTAGGCAAGCAGTGACTTTATCTAAAGTTGGGTATCGGCCAGATGTGATGTAGGCGGCGGTGTGTCAGAATGTGTCCAGGAGGGAGTTTTTGTTTCCCGCCCCACAGGAGGCATCTCTGTGTTTCCAGCTGAGGAAATGAGTCATAAGTGTGTTCCAAGTTCAGGTTTCCGTGTGCTCTCAGCTTTGTCCAGCACACTGACCAGCTCCCACCGCTTCACGAGCCCCTCTTTAACGTCATCTGTATCTTTTCCCGCATCTTCCTGTGGTCTTATCTGACGGCATACACGCACCACTGCCTCAACTTGCTGAAAAGATAGCAGCAGCTTTTCACTCACCACTGGAACAGGTATTTTCACCATGTGTACGTGAGTAGGCAGCGGTAGCTCAGGAGGGCAGTTACCTCTGATGTGATGGATGGTTTTTGTATCACGGAGACAGACAGCGTGGATTAGAAAACAACAGTGGCTGTTTTTCTGGTCCACAAAAGGCTCTGTCAAGAGGACCCTCTTGCCTAATAGGTAATGTGAAATGTGAGGTAGACGTTTATCCCTGTCGGCCAACCAAAAGCTCCGGATGAGTCCTGGGCCCTCAGACACATCAATCATGACTATTTCTAAGGGCAGAGTAGTGTCCCCTGGAGGAAAAACAACCCATTATTTGGCCCTCGGATGGTCCTTTCTGCAGTATATTGATGAACTGAATGGTGTTCGAACATGCCCGTAACTTAGAGACACATCCAGGGCATCACCGGTGGGTTAAACTCCAGCAACCCTGAGTGGAAATTATAGGGTAAAGAAAATAAAGGTACAATGTGCACCAGGTCCATTTGCACTATATTCAACCACAACACTTCTTGCACAGCTTTACAAGCCATCTAATTATTATCTTACAGGTCGGAAAAAAATGTAAACATCAAAACGCAAGATAAGGGAACAGGTGCTGTGTGACATCCATGAACTTCACACACCAATGATTATCAAAGGAGAGCAACTTTGGAAAACATCTTTGACATGAAGGCCGCATACGTGGCGCACATTCCAGTCGCAGCCTGCTCACCTCGTACTGAATTGGAAGCGAGGTGACTGCAGGCTTTCACAGAGAACGCTGTACAGGCAGGCATATTGTAGCTGCAGCTTCCTCGAGATGGAGCAGGCGTCCAACATGCCACGTGTCCACCGGGCCAGCCAGCCACCATCTGCCTTGAAGACAAGACTGGCACTCTCCCTTGCTATAAAATGCAGCTGGGAGAATCAACAGCTGTTGAAGAGGAGCGCTTTCCAAATAACAAGGGGTGTGTGTTTGGGAGGGAGGGAGGGTTACTGTACATGAAAAGAGGATCGTGAGGATGTGAGTGAAAGTACAGTCCCTGCGTCCTTAAAGGTAAATCTGTCAGCACTCTTGCAAAAAGGCTTCGGTAATGCCGGTTAATGGTTAAGTGTCCGAGTGCAATAGCAGTCCAAAATGTCCATCTTAACCTCTATGACAGATATTGTTTGTGCTCAGAGAATCCGTGAAAGAAATCTGTGCCACGCTGAAAAAAAAAGTGAGAATGAGAGTGCATGTGGCTCTCTCTTTGGCAGACAATTCTGTGTGCCCACATACATGTACACGGTGTGTGCAGACACAGATGCACACACATGCCCTCGCTCTGCTGCTTGAATTAAAATGAAATTGATTTCTCTTATCTCTGTCCACACTCTTGCTCTCTGCTCTCTTTTCACACATCCTTGAGACACCAGACTCCAGGTGAATTTCAATGTCAAAGACACGAAGGTAACGCAGGCGCTGCAATCTGTTCATTCTGTCAAGTAGTTGTGTGTGTGTGTGTAGGTGTGCGCCCGCGTGCGTGTGTCTACAGTATGTGCAGTGTGATTGGTGGGGGTTAGGCCTATTCATCTGTCTGGTGTGATCATGGCTCTCGGTAACTGGGCCTAGGCGTGAGTATGCACTCTGTGATCTCCCAGATAAGAGTCATCCATCTGCTGTGTGTATCTGTCAGGGCCCAGGCAGCTCCGCTTATCACTGCACTCATCCATTTCCTTCAATCATACTCACTCTATTCTCTTCTCTCATCCTTCACTGTTTTCCCTTTTGCACAGTTCAAATGCTGTGCTTCATCTTGATTACCCGACAAGCAGACGATTACGCACACGCACATGATGGTGTTAAAAACCTGCAAGTCTGCATGTGATGTGCAGCTTTGCATGCATCCGTAGATGTGCATGAAAGAATGCAAGGTTTTGCAAGCAAAACTACAAGCATGTGCACGCACACACACCTACACACACACACACCCACACACAAACACACACACACACACACACACACACACACACACACCCACACACACAGGTAGTTGGTATTCAAGGGCCCTACCTCAACCTCCCAGATTATCCTCCATAGATGAGCCTCAGAGAGCAGCACAAAACCCCTTTCTTGTTCACTTTACAGGAGTAAATATCCTTCCCAACATCAATCACACGGATGAAGAATTAGCTCCTGTGTGTTATCTTTTCATTTTTCAAGTCTACTCCAAAGAACCTCTGAATACGTGAGAACAAGAAACAGCATGACAAGATGATTTGTGTACAGTAGCAACACGAGCTCAACCCGGGGGAGTGTAGTTTACACTAGAGAAGCCATTTAGGATTTTGCCACCCTATACATAACAAAGGCTTCACAGACAACCCTCAGACCTCAAAGCAGCCCAGCGATGGTTTTTCTGTCCCAGCAATCTGTACTTAGTTTGTCACAATCAATATTGTAGGAACCAACCCTATTATTAATTCATAGTCATAAAAACATGTTGTGCTCTGAGGTGGGCTGAATAAAGCTGCTTCAAAGAGGAGACAAACACTGCATTTCACATGGGATCACTTCATGGGGTATAATGCGTTTCATCATCAGTATTAATAGTATATGCCCATCCTAGACTGCATACCCTGGGTGCTGCTGGGCCTGCAACAGGACAGGTTTTTGCTAGTGGAATATTTATAGCTGTGCATTAAAAGTGGAATCAAGGGTTTAAGTGTACCATTGCAACAGCGCTGCTGTTCCTTTGTCTGGGCCTGTCCAAAAATGTCTTGCCCTGGGCTATTTGCAGTGCTACATTCAAAATGTCAGCGATATCACACACTGCTGTCATATCAAAGGCTGAATACATTAAAGAACAGCTGTATCTCAGCGGGTTTTGTTTGATTTTTCCCTTCAAGAAGCACACGTTGCAATCAAACATTGTGGAGATGGCTTTAATAAGTCACACTTGTATGCTTTGTTTTTAGTTCCTTCTTTGTGTTTGAGACAATTGAGCAAGATCATATTTATTTCTCATTTATGACATCTGAAACTTAAACACTTTCCTAAAAAACATTTATGACATGCTGTATTCTCTCATTCCGAAAACTTACAGCTCATTGAAAAATGCCAATAAGCTGAACTGCACTGCCATCTTGTGGCTATTTTAATGCATAAATTCCACATCAGTGAGCTCACTGCGCACAAAATACAGCCATGTCTTTTTGTTACTGGGTACTATTGTACATGTGAAGCACACAGACACAAAGGTGAAACAACTGTCTATTTTATTAGGTCTGAGCCAAAAGGTGGACACGAATCTTTAAGCAAACAAAATCAACCAAAAGCAACATACAAGTAGGTATCTTTAACTACAGTGTTCTATAAAACACAGCACACAAAATATAACTTTCTGATCATGTTTATGAAAAAACTCCAGATTATTTGATAAATTTATCCATGGATTAAACATATGTCTTATCCAAAAGACAATGCTGAAGTTGTATTTACAAGTTCATTGCTAAGAAAAGTAAGCAAATACAAATACTAGGTTTGTTACAGTGCACCCCATGATGTTGCTGTGAGTTTAACAACATTTACTAACACTGTGCACAGCAAATTATTTCTTCTACACAGCCTTGTAAGTAATGTAATCATCCTGTCTTACATTTCGTGCTCACAGGCATGCCATAATGTGGACGTGTAGAAAAACAAAGTAATAATTACCATAGTTTTAAGAACACAATTCTTAAACACATTACATGAAAGTAAACCTTAATGTCTTAGAAAGCAAATTAAGTTAAAATCTAAGGAAAAAAAACAAAACAAACAAAAAAACAACAAAGCTCTACTCAGTGTAGGAGCGTGTTACAAAAACGTAGGAATCCACGAAAACATTGGTCAAACTATGCCATGATTTTAAACATCAGAGATGGTTTACAGATTGTTAACAGGAGTGGAGGTTGGTGTGTAACAAGACAGAACATGTAGAATAGGGATAAACACAGGTAGTCTATTAAAACAATAATTGTTTCTATTTACTACAGTAGAGTACACATTTCTTTATACACAACCAACAATAACCAGAGTGTGTAAATGTCTGAAAATCAGTAAGGTTCTTTCAACACAACTACCATCATGATCATCCCTGAGAACAAATTTTGGTTCAGTACTCAGTGCATCTGAAATGTACTGTCTTTACATCGAATTTAGCTTGTGACATGTTTGCTATGTCGCACATCAATTCTAAAAACAGCCAAAGCTTCCTCACCTTGAAATGACCAGCAATAATGCCTCTGAAGGTTTCAGTGTTCCTTAAAGAATTTGCAAAGCAAAATTTTATGCCACCGAGTAGTGGCGATCAAAATCTCACCTACATTTGTGTAGGCTGTTGTACAATGTTCCTCATTAAATAGAAGAACACTTCTTGTATGAAGTAACGGGCATAATATGCCCAAGAACCTGTTTAGAAAACAAACATTTTTGCAAAGTACATCAGAATACACAGTACCGACTGTATAAAACAGAGGGGAAACATGCTGCCTTGGCTTTATTATTATAGTGAAACCCTGATTTAAAATGCTTTTGTGTATTTTAGTTATAAAAAAAAATCAAAAACTGATATTTTGTGCATAAAAAGGACTAACATCAGGAAGAAGGGTTCAATGTTTGCTCTGTTAGTCTTCGACAACCAAGCATCCTCTTCATCTTCTCTGGTCCCCATGGTGACTCGCCTTCCACGACTCATACCTCCTCTTCATCTTCATCTTCATCTTAGGCCTCCTCTTCCTCCTCCTCCTCCTCCTGGTCGCTGTCATCGGAGCCTGCAGGACAAAAATTAGGCTATAATATCAAGGGATGGTTGAAATTATTCCAGTCACTCTCCATAAAAAAGAAAAACTCCATTAAAGAAAATACACCATAATGAAAAAAGTAGAAAAAGAAGATGAACTGCCACCCAACAGGTTCCCAAACCTCCCATTGATTATTTGTGATAATGGTGAATTTGTAACACTGCTGTTAAGAGTGATGTCTTACCGTCAATCACAATTTCTCCACCATCATCCTCCTCCTCTGGGCTCTCATCTGAGGAGGAGATATTTCTTGTCTATTCAGTTTAGCCCGCATTACTCAGACATAAATATTTCAGCTACAACACAACCCAGTGAACTCAGTGCTAATCAACCTCAGCCTCTCATTAACAGCGTAAGCAACAGCAAACCTTGGATTCCACACAGAAGAATCATTTTACTACTGCTTCTATTAGAAAGCCATCTCCGTCTCCACGTTCAAAACAGGCTAAGCGCTAAAATAACCTTTAAATGTGTCTTTCGGGGTCCTAGTGGTCTTTATCAGATCTGCTTCTGCACTGACCTGCGCTCGGCCCCCTGTCCTCCTCTTCTTCCTCCTCTTCTTCTTCTTCCTCCTCTTCCTCCTCCTCCCTACTGTGGCCTTGTTCAGCCTCACCGGTCTCCTCACCAGGCTCATCATCAGAGTCGGAGATCACCACACAGTCATCTCCGTTCCCGTTATCAGCTGCTCTGGCCCCTGTGCCGCTACTGGAGGGAAAAAAAAAAACACACACACACACATACGGTCATGTTAACAGTAAACACACTCATTGTTTCGGTATGCATCCCACCTGGTTTTAGCAGCGGGGGAAGAAAAAAAAAATCAGGAAACTGTTAAAGTTTACACGTGGACTATAATTTCAAGGCTATTTCTAGAATTTACAGCTTAATAAGTGGTTTATCCACTGACTGCACATTACTGTATATTTGCCAGAAGCTTCAATACACACATGAAGATTTGTTTGTTTTACCTGCCATTCTCCCTCGGTTCCCAGAGAGGAGTGAGGTAGTATCTCAGGGGGTCTCTGTACAGGTCATCTTTAAGTATCTAAACACCAGCACAACGGTCAGAATATTGGGACGTACACGTGTCTTAAGTGTTTCAATACAAAATATACATTCCTGCTAACCAGAGACAAAGGTTTGAGTAGCATATAGCACATGGAAACATTGTAAAAGTTTGCCAATTGTACTGTTCGAAAATGTACTTACTATACCTGACAGAAAATATAAATGTGTATGTGATAATATTCTTAACGAATTTAGACTTAAACTCCACTCCATCACATTGCTAACACACATGATGGCAATTAATCTAGTGTGATCAAATGTTAAAAAGACAAAAAAATACCCCTGAAAATCAGATGCAAGTTGGAAGGTCTGACTACATTTTATTACACTTTTAAAAACAGCAGATCCCAGTTGATGAACCTAAGCTCCTAATCAAACTCATTGATTTCCATTTGCTGTGATCAAAAGCCTATATTAGCATGAGGTTGCAGTCATCTGTACCTGAGCTACATCATCTTGTCCTGGGTTGCTATGGTCACTGAACCAGCTGAAAAATGTCTCGTAAACCCCACGCGATGACTTCCTGGGTTCACTGTGGGCCGTCAGGTTGTGTCCACGGTGCCACAGGATGGGGTTGGAGAATGACATGGGAGATCCTGAAAACATGAGCGGACAGGATCAGATTAAAATGTAGATTATAGTTAGCCTTAAAACACCATCGAAACTCATATTTAAATATGCTGTACTACATAAACTCAATCTGAGAGATTACAAAAATACTGAGTGACAATAAACTGTTTGACATTACATATAAGTTCTTGACATCACGTAAAATGCATTGTATTGTTGTAAATAGACTGACACAAGGGATGGAACTACTACATTATTATCATAATATACTCTGTTTTACTGTACAGCTGCACTGATTGAAGAATGTGGGTGTGAAGTTGACAAGTTTGGTAAAGTTTGTTTTTTGGCAATCTACACTTGACTCTTTGTACTTTTTGGTAGTTGTTTCAGAAAATCTTGTATTTGCTATTTGTGCTTTTGTCTATTTCCTCCTGAATACAACTAAATTTCGTGACTTAGATGGGTCTGCTATTTTTGTGTACTTAGTAGAAATCTAAAAGTAAATAGCAAATGTCAACATTGTGTTTAGATAGATAGATAGATAGATAGATAGATACTTTATTCATCTCCAAGAGAAATTTACAAAAGATATGGGTACACAGACTTAGGATTGTCTTCTATATACGTACTGTGTTTATAGTGTCAAGATGCAAAGTCTGAGTCCTTCCATCATATATTTATATGTCCCTTCAACATGCATGATGAGTATGTCTTGAGTTCATGAGCACAGGTTTATTTTTACCTGCCATGCCGAGGTGCAGCTCCTTCATGATGATGTTATTCTGGAAGTAAGGGTTCCGCCTGAAGTGGAAGCGAATCCTGTAGCCCAGTTTGTTATTCTTGAAAGACTCAATCTAAGAACAACACGAGGAAAAGCATGAATTTTGCTGCTGGGTACATCCAACTGCCAGACTTCGAAGAACATAACACCAACACAGTTTACCTCAAGATCAGTCATGTAACTAAGAGCATCTTCATCAGTCTCATCAATGTGAGCTGAGAGATGAGGATGGTTCAACAGCTGGCACATCAAAGTTAAGGAAAAGAAACTCCACACATGTTCATTTTAAATATATAAACACAAAGCAGGGCAGGAGTGGAGGATGTGACACTTTTCATTTTAAGGATACAGCTGTCACCCAAAAGCCGGGGATAGTTTTTGTGATGGAGCTTCTCTGATCCAGATGCGGGCGACGCTGGCGACTAATCTTCAGCTCCAGTCGTTGGTGAAGTCGGGCACTTTTCTTCTCAAGAGCCTCCAGTCTCATCTGTACTTGTGCCAGAAGAGCCACTGATTGCCTCATCTCCGGGGCCATCTTAACTGACACAATGGCACACTCCCCATCATCATTGTCCTCATTGTCTGACGGAAAAGAGGAGCTTGGCGTGGATGAAGATCCAGATACGGATTCATCACCTTCATCTGCTTCAGGCATATCATCTGCATCTTCTCTGTCAGTACTATGCACAGATGTGGAGCTATCTGCTGCTGCCGCCTGTGTTTTAGAGCCTAATCTTGAGGATTGGTGGCCCCCACGTTGTTTGAGTTTACTCCCCTGTTTCACCTGTTTAGCTTTCTCGGATGAGCAAGGAGTCTCTTGACTGTCTTCTCCGTCTCCTCCTGTGAGACTGGCAAGTGCTTCAGCAGCTGCTATGGCTGCTGAGTCGGACTGGTCCATGGGAGTTGTCGGACGGTGCTCCTTTCTTGCTGTCTTTTCTGATTTTTCTTTTGCATCTATAGATCCCTTTGCATCCGAGGACTGTGGTTTTTCAGTCCTGCTTGCATCGTGGCCGTCAGCAATGGAGCTGTTGACAGGCTGTGCACCGGTGCCATCCGTGCTGTCCGTTCGCACAGCAGCTGGTTTGTCCCCGCTATCTTTTGCCTGGCCCTCGCTCCCAGCTGCTTCTTTACTCTCAGCCTCGCCGTTTTTGCATCTTTCCGAAGCAGCCCCCGTTTCATTTGACTCGTCACTTACTTTTGCGGACTTGCAGGGAATCGTGCTGCCTTCACCGTGCTCGGGTGATGGACACCGTTTCCTCGATGCAGAGTCAGCGGACTGTTTGCAGTCCGTCAGTTCGCTCATGCTAGCTGGCTAGCTAAATAGCTAACAAGCTAGGTAGCCCGCAAGCTCGTACAAATTAAACGTAAATGCAATATTCTACACCACTGAACTAGCTGCTTAGATTACCGCTACGATTTCGATGCTCGGGTCGTAGTGCAACCTACATTCTCAATAAAGCTAGAACAGGAAGCAGTTCTCGTGTTTCTCCGCGGCCTTGCGGAACGTTAAAAATGAGCAAGCTGTGGCTAACGGTAGTTAGCCTGCGTTACCCAATTCTTGTGTCCTCGCGGTGACGGCCGCACGCCATTTTCACGAATAAAATCCCAACAAATCCCAACTCGGCGCAAATAATGAAATCCTCCCGTGCTATATGGCCATAAACCACAATGCGCGTTCTTTATATTAGTTTATGTTTGGATTATCCGTTAGCTTACTATCTGTACAACGACGTGACAGAAAAACAATCCTGTGATTGGCTGCAGTACGCCGCGCTAAAACGTCTCCACCAATCGGCTACAAGGGTGTGTTTACATGGTAATATGAAGCAGTGGGTTTACTGCGCAGCGAATGCAGCGCTGTGTCGTGAGAGCATCATCACGCTAATAAATGTGAAGTATTTTCACGCGATAGCATCAAAACAGATTGTACATGACACCATTTCAGCACGCTAACCGTTTGAACATGTGATATTAAAACGAAGGAATTTTGTAATTATAATTACGTATGAGCACAAGCGCAAAACCACATGTAAATAAAGATTTGGCTTTGTGTGCGTAAGAATTCATAGGAGGCAGTGGGCGTGAACAGTGGCCTTAACGCAGCGTCAAATGTAGGTGGGGTTTCAGGCCTATTCCCAGAAAAGATTTGGACCACACATCACTATAAATAGCGTCCCAATCAAGCTTGTACGGCCTTTCTCCCCTCAGTTGTTGCAGGTTAGGCAGCAAAAGTCATCTGGACCAGATCAGGCCAAGAGTCAGGTATAAGGGATAGCCTCTGAAAATAAATACTTAGATAAATGAATAGGCATCTTTTATCATCTATGTCAGGGTAGACTTCTCTCTGGATGGTTGGTCCTTTCAAATCAGGCATATTTTCAGATACAGCTGGAATGACATTAAATTGCAATAGCAGCACTAGACAAAGAGGTACTGGATGACAAAACTTTCAACTGGACGATCAGTTCAAACTACACAAACTGTGATACATTTAGACTTGCAGCAGAGCTGTTTGCATGTAGATCTCATTCTGAAATGATCATTTCCATCTGATAATATCTGATATCTAATAGAACAAACACACAAAAGCTATTTGCATAAAAAAAAGCTTCCTCATCAGGGTTCCTGGGAAAGGTCGCATCAAAGTTAGTTAAACATTGGCCAAGTGAATCTCCATAATCATTTATGCTGTTGGGGCTTAGCCTTTTTGTGTATCATTGTCAGGTAAAATAATATTGTATAGTTTTTTGTATTTTTGTTCATATAAAAATGTTTTGGTAGAATCCCATCATAAATAACACTACAGGTTCTTAACCCCAATATTTAAACTTATTAGGTTAATTTGTAATATTGTTTTATACTGAAAAGCATTTATTGGCATAAGGGTTGTTGATTTAAATGTTTTATTTTAAAAAATTGCGATGATTTGACCTGACATGACTTAACGCCGGCATTTAACAGATATGATGTTATTCTTATATTCTATTTCCAGTAGTGGGCGTATAGCCAGCCCGAACCAAACAGAACAAGGGGGAGTCGCAGGATTATACCACCTTAAAAACAAATTTGGGGCATGGAAAACCCGGTTGGTCAGTGCTAAAATTAGAAGCTGCTGCTTCTACGACAGCAGCCAAACTGCGATGCATAAAGTCATGCAAACCGGGAGATACACTATCACAAGGGCAGTAAAGACAAGTTTCCCATGCGTGACATTTAACGCCACACGCTGACTGAAGAGGCTCCGTGCGTAAGGCAAGGACGGCGCTGGCTCAACACTGGCCACTGCTGCGCAAACCTTGACTGTTTGGTTGTGTTTTCTGGAGACGCCATATGTACTCTTTCCAGCGTAAAGCTCTCCTGAGTGCACACACTTGCAAAAAATGTCTTTTTTGACCATACCAAGTCAGGAAGGCCTTTTTACCACGATTAAAACAAGCAAATCAGCCGAGGAAGCAGAGAGCAGGTCACCCATGGACGCCGAGGATAATAATGATGATGACGATGAAGATGATGACACCGACGTTCGCCTCATCCCAAGATGCTCCCCGGTGCCCAGAAAGCGAGGTGCGTCTATCTTCGATGAGACTGCTGAGTATATGCGGATCCACTTGGCGCTGTCTGCCGGAAAGAGAGTGTCATTCGCCGATACAACAGGTGGGGACCTGGTGGATGTGAAGGAATTTGTAGCCTTCGATTCGGACGAGGAAGAGGGGAGCGCAAAGTGGGAGGAAGAGGAGGCAAAGTACCGAAAGCCTGAGCGAGAGCCGACCTACAGTGTGCACCCAGAGTTTATTGCAGCCACCGGCGGTGCCCTGCTGCAGGCTGTGCGCACAAACAAAGTGGAGGTCGAGCAGATGTCTCCAGTAGAGGATGAGCCACTTGCTTTCAAGGTGCTAATAAGAGTCCTGAACATCTCCTTCCACAAATCAGTTTATATCAGAACCACCATGGACCACTGGGTTACTTACTTTGACCACCCAGCAGAGTATGTCCAGGGATCTAATGATGGGGACACTGATCAGTTCTCCCTCAAGCTGTCTTTTTCACCTCCTTATCTCACACACGGCTCCCGCATTGAGTTTGTTGTTCGCTATGAAACCTCAGATGGTGACTACTGGGCCAATAACTCCTCTATGAATTACGTGATAACTCTGCTCCTGTCCTACGAAGAAGATCCAGCTCAGGCAAACGTCGACGTAAAACAAATCAGAAGCATCCTGAAACCTCCAAAAGCTTACAGGTACATCTCCTGTCACATTCGTCAGACATCCGCCAAAGGGATAAAGATTGATCAGCTCACCGTTGATTGTTGTTGATCAAACTTCAGTCGGCTTAAGGGCCTTAAAAGCTGTTCATCCTTATAATCAGTGGGGAAATTAGGATACTCAAAAGCTTAATGATGCTGAGTAATAAAACAGATTTACATATTTAAGTCTTCAAATCATAAGAAGGCAGAGATAGATAACAGACAGGAGCTGTGCAACAGCTACAGACTCGCTCACTGATTCCCTGTGACTGTGAGTTTTTCCAGCTTCATTCAGTGTTTCTGCCTAGAGACTGCATTCAGCATAGTAAAAATTCCGGTCTAAAGCAGAACAGGATGTTAATCAACAAAGTCACACAGTCTGTTGCATAATCAGGGTACAAGGACAGTGTGGAAGTGCTCTAATTGAGTTCACGAACTGTTTCTACTTCAGGTTTTGCTCTGGTGTCGGCAGTGATATAGAGAAAGAGTTTTTTAGAGCCTACACACCCCGCTCAGAATGCCATTCACCCAGTGGTGTTTGAGGCGATCAAAATAGGCAAAGGGCAGGTGTCGTTTTCAGCCCTGGCGTTTCTCTGCACTAAAATTTACCTCTGACCTTTTCTATCAGAGTCACAGGGGAGCCGAGCAATTTCAAAGGAGCCCGATTGAAGATTGGCTCCTCTCCCTTGTGTAATTAGAAGGCTGGCACACAGACCACTTTGCTTCCTTCTCTACTCTATTAAAGTCAACTAATCCCCTGTTTTATTGCAACATCAACATGAAAGTGTGCGCTGAATCTCACAATCTGCAGTGACAGAGACAGAGGACAGTAGCGAAAGGTCCGCAGGCTTGTTAGGGCCTATAAAAGGAGTACACAGTGTATAAACCGGTGTGGTTGTCATGTAAGGTCTTTTGCTGCTGCAGCTGTTTGGAAGCCGGAAGAGGCCAGATGGGCTGTTAGGGATGGATGAGTCATTGATTGAAAAGAAGAAGTTCGGGGAGCAGAAACTGCATCAGCACCGGCACCATAACAGCAATTACAGATTGATTAGGTGCTTTGAAGTTGACTGATAATTGGATTTTTAACATATTAACAGGGCAGCCAGTGAGAGGAAAGGTTATTATGGGATGGAACAAGTCTAGACACCAGATTGTATTTCCGTACTGATGGTAATTACTCATAGTTCAGTTTGTGCTTTGAAGTAAGCCATACTGACTGTTAGGATTGCATCTAGGCAACAGTAAATATCAAACATTAAAGGCCTGCAGCTAATAACGAATGAGACCTGGGAGGTAACAATGATGCTCTTGTATATTAGTGACATCCACCTTAATGACTTGAGTTTTGCTTTCAATCCTGATCTCGCTCTCTTTTTTTTTTTTTTGCATCAATACAGAGCTCAATCAGTCTAGTTTGTCATTGTGGCCTGGGTCAAACACAGCCACATCTCCAGATCCAGCTTCAGCAGAGCTAGCAGAATTAGTTATATTAACTGTGTTCAAATCAGTCTTTAAATTTATACTCTACAAGGCCTACAGCACTTCAACACCTGCCCATGCAACCACATCGACCGCTGTTATTTCTGCAGTGTCAGGCTCAGTTCAAGGTTTGGAACATGCATGTGTCTGAATGTCTTAGGTCAAACAAACCCGGTATCTCAACTGTAACCTTTATGCACATGACGAAGGGCTTTAGGTGTGGTTGATTTTTCCAAAAATTACAAAGATTTATCTTGCTTCTGTAAGCAGAAGTTGAGGATGCTATATTTGCCATTAAGGAGCATGAAAGCATTGTAAAAAATAAAAAATAAAAAATAAAAAAAAGTCCCCCAAGTAAGGAGCCTATCAGATGATGGTTTCATATCACCAGACCTATAAAGTGCAAAGATCAGTGCCAAATCTGCTTCGCATTTCATTTCTAGAAAGTGCGTAAGGAGTATGAGCTGCTTCTGTTTCTCCTGTCACATGCTGATCACACTTCTTGACCTTGGCTTCATTTGGCTTCCTATGCTGGACTCCTAGCAATGTTACATGCCCCCGCTTTCAACAGAGGTGCCTTCTTACGGTGAACATTGATGATTGTGAGCACCTGTCATTAGTGTCAGACGGGCATAGGCTATGCTATCGGGTATGTGATAGAAGAAATCAATTAATTCTACTTTGCTCCATTCCTCGTCTAGTAATTACTGTCGCCGCAGTTACATTTTCTACATCAACTTTAATATGACTTCTATTGACAAACATTGTGCTTGCGCTTAGCCTTAGTCACTCAGTAATTTTCCACCATCTATTTTAACAAAAGGTTTTCGGCCTTAAAGCTCTCTGCTCAGCTGGTGCAGGAGCTCAGAAACAGAAATGTATAAAAGGAGCCAATACAGTTAAAAAAAAAAAAAAGAAAAGAGAGAGACACCAAAATATATTCAGGAAAAATGGCTAATTCAGCACATTAGCATCGCGCTGCATCAGCAATTACTAACTCTAATTATCCCAAACAGGTGTT